CTTCGACGGAACCCCGCGGTTGTCTGCCCCGCGCCATCACGACGTCGTGGACCGCGACGTCCGCCATTCTTGCGGGGAGTGCGCCCCGCATGTGCAGGCGCCGCATTTTAGTTGCGTCTGCGCCTCCTGTCTTCGGTTCCGACCGCGCCTCCTATTCCAATCCCCCGAATTTGCTCGCACTCCCGGACGAGCAGCGCTACCTGGCGCCCTCGCTGCTCAGCGAGATGCGGCCGACGAACATGCTGCTATGTATCGTCGTCGCCTGGCGGCGCACCCCGTCACCCCGCAAGTGGACGTAGTCCATGGGTCAGCCCTAGTCTCTACTACATTGCAGGGGCACGTGCGTGCGGGAAGGGCGCAGGCTCAAATGTCTCAAAACCGCCCCGGGCTGGCCCCGGGCCGCCCCGGGCCGCCCAGGCAGGCCCCAGGACATGTCGAGAGGGCCTCCAGAAGCCCCCAAGACGGCCCCGGAGAGCCCCGGCACGCTTAAAGATGTGCCCCAGACGCCCGAGATTCGCCCCAGGCGGCCCAAGAGGCCTCCAATACGCCCGAAGAGGCCTCCCAAGAGGCCTCCCAAGAGGGCCCCGACCGACAGAAATCGTCGATCCCTACTGTTTTTTCGATGTTTTCGGCCTCCTCGCCTCTTCGGCTTCCCGACGCTCCAAGACGGCCCAAGAAGTCCCCCCGACCGCTCCAAGACGGCCGAAGAGGACCCCATGAGAGCCTTAAGACGGGCCAGGAGTGCCCCCAGACGGTCCCAAGACGCCCCAGGACGGCCCCCGGACGGCCCAGGAGGCGCCCAAGACGGCCCAAGAGGCACCCAAGACGGCCCCAGGAGCGGCCCAAGACGGCCCAAGACAGCCCAAGAGGCGCCGAGGCGGGTCTCAGACGGCCCCAAGACGGCCCAAGAGGCACCCAAGACGGCCCGAGAGGGCCCTAAGAGCCCCCCCGGGAGGCCCAAAAGAAGGCCGAAGAGGCTCCGAAACGGCCCCCACGAAGCCTTCAGTGCCTTCAGAATTCCCTCCAGGAGCGGGGGAGCGGACGAGAGGCGACAGGCATATCGCAGGCAAAAACGCCCCAAGAGATCCCCAAACGGCCCCCACGAAACCCTAAGTGGCCTCAGAATTGCTTCCAGGAGGGGGGGAGCGGACGAGAGGCGACCGGCATATCGAAGGCACAAAAGAACAATGTTGGACGCTCCGAGGGCCTTCGATGTTTCTCCGTTGGGGAGAGTCGTCGTAGGATCGACGATTGCCGACCGAGGGCAGCGAATCCAGTGGAGGCCCAAGAGGCCCCCAGGAGCCCAAAAGAGATCCCCAAGAGGTGCCACGGGGCTTAAAAACTGCTTCGAAGCGAGGGGGGCGGACGAGGGGACCGCCTCAGGAGGTTTTGGACGGTTTTGGGCTTCAAAATCGTCCGCTTCACGACGGTTTTGGAAGGATTTTGGCCTTCTCGCCTTTTCCGCTTTCCGACGCTCGAAGACGGCCCAAGAGGCCTCCAAGAGCGCCCCAGAACGGCCCAAGAGGTTTCCAAGAGCGCCCCAAGACAGCCCAAGAGGGCCCCAAGACGACCCAAGAGACGCTCAAGACGGCCCACGAGGGCCCGAAGACAGGCCCAAGAGGGGGCCAAGAGGGGGACCACGGACCGAAAATCCGAGCCTTCCGCCCCAAGAGGGCGCCAGGAGGCCCAAACAGGCCCCCAAGAGGCCCCAAGGGGCCGCCAAGAATCCCCCGAAGAGGCCCCAGGAGGCTCCCAAGGAGCCCAAACGAGGCCCCTACAGAGGCCCCAACAGCTTCCAAAATGGCCCCGAAGAGGCCTCGAGCCCGCCTCCGAGCTTCCTCGCCGCGAGGGTGCCAACACGGCCCCAGACTGGCCCAGGACGGCCCAAGGCGCGCTCAAGACGGCCCAAGACGATTCCAAGACGGTCCCAGGAGGGTGCGCCCAGGACGGCCCAAGGACGCGCCCGTTCGGGGCCTCAAGACGGGCCAAGATGGCAAGAGAGTCCCAGCTGGTAAAAATCGTTAATTTTCCATTGTTTACTGTTACACCCTTTGCGTTTCCCGCCGTTTCGGCGGTCCGATGCACCAAGAGGCCCCAGAAAGTCCCAGGAGGGTCCGAGGAACCGCCCAGGAAGGCCCCAAGACGGGCCAAGACGGACCCAACACAACCCAAGGCGCGCTGCGACGGCTCAGGACGGCTCCGAGACAGCCCCAACAGGGTGCCAACACGGCCCCTGCTGGCCCAGGACGGCCCAAGGAGGCGCACAGGAGGGGCCCAAGACGACTCCAAGGCGGCCTCCTCACGGTCCCAGACGGCTCCAAGACAGCCCCACGAGGACCCCGATGGGCCCAGGACGGCCTACGGACGCGCCCATGAGGGGCCCACGACGAACCAAGACGGCCCCATCAGGGCAAACGGCGCCCTCAAGACGGGCCTAGACGGCTCCAAGACGGCCCTTTGAGGGAGCCAACGCGGCCCCACACCCTTCGGGCGCACACTTGGGGGGGCTGGGAGCTTGCGACAAGTCTCCCACATTCATTGTCCTGCCCCATTCTGTTCGCCTGGAGGCCTCCTCCAACCCTGTGGGCGAACAAGAGGAATCCCAGCGGGACGCCAACCCTGGGGCCCGTGGGCCCCGCGCCGCTTGGGCAGAAGACGAACGCCGGGTCTGACAGGCCAGCTACCGCCCCCCTTTGCCCGATATGCTGTGCCATTCTGTTCCCCCAGGGGCCTTGGCAAACTCTTCGGGCCAAGCAGACCGGACCCCTGGGACAGCAGCCAATTGATATGACCCTGGGACCTCTCCGCATTCTTCGGACGAGCATCTGGGGGGCCCAGGAGATTCGGACATGTCTTCCCCATTCCTTGCCCTGTCCCGTTCTGTTCGCCCGAAGGCCTCCACAGACCCTCTGGGCGAACAAAATGGGACATGGCGAACAAACCCTCCCGTTGGCGGTGATGCGACTGGATCGCACCATCAAGGCGCGCCCGGAGGTGATGGCCGACCCAACAGCGGTTTCTCTTAAGAGTTCACTGGATTTCAAATTTTCTTGAAGCTCTCTTGGGCCCTCCCTGTAGATCCTTGCGAGCCTCCCCGGCGCTTTCGGTGGCTTTCCCCGATGGCCTCCCGAGCCCTCCCCCGAGCGCTCCTGAGACGCCTCAGATGGGCTTCGACTTCGACGCACATCCCCGAGAGACTTCGAAACTGTCCTCAATAGGAGGGGGGTGAACGAGCAGTGCGCTGGGCCAAACTGCTGCAGCGCTGCAAGAGCTCGGACACGAAGGCTCGGTCTCGCTGCCGCCGCCCGAGCCGCCGCCGTGTTTGTAGATTTTCGGTACAATCTGCGCCGTTCCTCCGAGAACCATTCCAGAAAGATGTCGTGGACGGAGTCCACGGGTCAGCCCTAGTCAGCTACAACGCTGTGATCAGCGCGTGCGAGAAGGGCGAGCAATGGCAACGGGCGCTGGCGCTTCTCAGCGAGATGTGGGAGGCGAAGCTGGAGCCCGACGTCATCTTACCTACACATCAGGGGCATTTGCGTGCGAGAAGGCCTGGGCCCAAATATCATCATCTGCAGGACCGCCCTGGCCGTCCTGAGAGCCTCAGGAGTGCCCCAAGACGGCCTCAGTCTGCCCCAAGACGGCCCTGGGACGCTCAGGAGGGCACCAAGACGACCCGATAGGGCTCCAAGACTGTCCAATATGGCCTCGAGACGGCCGAAGAAGCCACCAGGGCGCCCCAAGAGCGAGCCCAGAGGGCTTCTGATAGAGCCTCAAGGCGTAAGAATCGACGATTTTCCCATGGTTTTTGATGTATTTTAGGTTGATCGCCTTTTCGGGATCCCGATCGCCCAAGACGGCGACATGGGCCTTCCACAATGGTCTGAGACGGCCCCTGAGGCCCCAAAGAGGGCCCCAAGACGGTTCAAGAGGACAACGAGACGGCCCAAGAGAGCGCCAAGACGGGCTCAGAGAGCCCCGAAGAAGGCTCTCAGAGGTCGCCGTCAGGGCCCCAAGACGGCTCCAACGAGGCCCCAGGGGCCTGAGACCCACAGCATGCCTCTGAGGGCTCCCAGGAGGCTTCCACGAGGTCCAAATCTGGGCCAAGAGAGCCCCAGGGGGACCCCGGACGGATAGAGCCTCAAGACTCATCATGTAATGATGCCTTGTCGGTTTTCGACGAATTTTAGCTTGCTCGCTTTTTTGAAGTCTCGACTACTCCAGACCGCCTCATGAGCCTTCCACATCGGCCCCAGACGGCCCAGGAGGCCCTGAAGGGGCCCCATGACGTCTCAAGAGGACCTCAAGACCGCCCAAGAGGGCGCCAATGCCTCCTGGTCCCTGTGGGCTCTGGGCCCCGAACACCTCGCAGAGACAGCCTTCGATAATGTCCGAGATGGCCAGAATTGGCCACGACAGCCGCCAGACAAGGCCCCCGAGAGATCTCAAGCCGTTCCAAGAAGCCTCCAAAAGGCCCCAAGACGCCCAAAGAGGCGTCCAGACGACCACGCTCCAAGAATATTTGAAAAGGCTTCGGAGAGCTTCCAGACGGCCCGACACGCCTTCCAGAGAGCGCCACGGCCGCCCAACAGACCCCCGGAGAACCCCGAGACGGCCCCAAGTGGGCCCAATGAGGCCCCCAATAGTTTCGGCCATAGGGCCCCCCAGCACGTCCTCAATATCCGGCAGCAGACAAGCCAGCAGCGGCAGCAACTAGTAGCTAGCAGCAGAAAACAAGCAGCCGCTGCATTGCTCGCGGCCGGCTGGCGGCCATCCCCGCTGCCGTGGCGTGCGGCAGAGAGTCAGTTGCGACCGCCAGGCCTGCCAGCATGCTGGCAGTGACGTCGGGAAGACAACTGTCTGGCTACCAGCCATGCGCGCCAAACATCAGGCAAGCAGGCAAGCGATCTCAGCTTCTGCACGCGGGTAAGCTGTCGTGGACGTGCGTCCACGGGTCAGCTCTAGTCAGCTACAACGCTGGGATCAGCGCGTGCGAGAAGGGCGAGCAGTGGCAGCGGGCACTTGCGCTGCTGAGCGAGATGCGGGAGGCGAAGCTGGAGCCCAACGTCATCAGCCACAGCGCTGGGATCAGCGCGTGCGAGAAGGGCGAGCAGTGGCAGCCGGCGCCTGCGCTGCTGAGCGAGATGTGGCAGGCGAAGCTGGAGCCCAACGTCATCAGCTACAACGCTGGGATCAGCGCGTGCAAGAAGGGCGAGCAGTGGCAGCGGGCGCTTGCGCTGCTGAGCGAGTTGCGGGAGGCGAAGCTGGAGCCCAATGCAGCCAGCTACAGCCCTGCGATCGTCGCTCTGCTCCGCAGAAGCGTGAGACAGGCTAGTCAGCCACACCGCTGAGGAAAGCGCTTGAGTGACAGGTGGCCAGTGGCCGCGGGCTCTGGCGTTGTCGAACGAGATGTGGGAGGCGATGTTGGAATTTGGACGTTATCAGAACTTTAGCGTTGTGATCACTGGGTGCACGAAGAGACGAGCAGTGGCAGCCGACGCAGGCGCAGAGCCTTCCAAGACACCTCACCGCCCGACGCCAATATAGGTCTGGAAGCGCGATGCCGCGGCATCCCCCAACAAAACTGTCTGGGACCCCCACTGTAGCCCTCGAGGCCTCCCCGAGACACCCAAGAGGACCAGAACAGCCACAGGGGGAATCAAACAACCCATCAAACAGGCCCCTCGAGACATTCGGAAGAGGCGATGCCAGGCCAGAAGACCAGCCGGAAGGAAACTCGAAGAGGCCACCATAACCGCCACAGGGTATTCATTCGAGGCGTTCGATTGCAAGTGACGGCGTTGGGCCCACAGGCGCGTTTCCAATTCTTCACGCTTCGCGTTTCCCCATCAGCTGCCCAAGGAAACCAGTTCCCCCCACCTCCAGCCACCCGTTGCCCCGAAGGGGCTCGTTTCACCTCGCTGCGCCCGACTCAGGCCGTAATACCCGGGGCCACCCTCCGCTGGGGCGAAGGCTACCCCCACATCTCACCCACGGCGCAGCTTAGCTAGACAGCCCACGCTGGATAAGTGGACCACCGTCTTCCTTTTCGGGCCTGACGCGGGGGGACTCCCCCCACCAGCACCCGACATCTCACCCTCACTGGCACGGCGGGGCCAGCCTGGCTCGCGCAGGCAGGCCCCCCGGGCTCATAGACTTTGCTGTCCGACGACGACAGCCGGCCCGCGCGCCAGGGGCCGGAGGTGGGCCACAGCATCCCCCCCCCGCCTGCCTGGCGGCGAGCTCGACCTAGCCAGGTCACAGTTTTGTCACACTACAGACTTATGCGGCGGTTAGCTGCGACCCTGGAGGACCAACACCCACCATCCCCGTTGAGGTGCCAGTCTTCGCGTTGGCAGACCAGCATTCAGCATGGCAGGAGGTCCACTCAGGACCGCACCATCACGCGGCATCAACACCGTTCGAAGGACCCATCAGTCGATACTGTTTGCTCTTGAGCGGCGGTTAGCTGCGACCCTGGAGGACCCTCGAGAATGGCCATGTCCCCTGACCCACGGGTCCGGGGCCCGTTCGAGGGGCGTTGAGGTGCTTCCCCTCGCCTCTCCCCTCTCGGGCCAGGCGGGTGTCCCCCGCCCTTGGCCCCGGGGTTCGCCAGGCGTGCCGACAGACGCCGTTGGTTTTGTCCCCCCTCCCCAGGGCCGCCCTTATCCCCCGCTGTCCGTGGTCGGCGGTTAGCTGCGACCCTGGAGGCCCACGTGGTGCGTGATGGAGGGCGGCCCCGAGTCTCGCGGGGAAGTGCGGAAGCGGCGGGCAGGGTCGGACCATGGTGACCGTCGGCTCTCGTGCCTGCTTCAGCGCAGCTTCCCCCTGGTCGCCCCACCCAATTGCAACGTTGCACGCTTGCTTGGACCGGGAGGTACAGCCAACTCTGTGTACTTGGGGGTAAGCTTGTCCCTCGGTCCTTTACTTCAGGCGGCAGCACCACCATCAGTGCAGCACCCCTCTGGATTCCCCTGCCTCGCTGGCGATGCTCACCACGCCTGCCTGGCCTTCTCCTCTCACCCTGGGCCCGGCGCCGTGCCGCTGCCCACGGGCCCGGCTCGCGGTCGTCTTGGTGCCCCTCGCTCACTGCCTGGTAGACTGGCGGGTGTTGAGATCGCCACGGAGTGGTTCAGCCCTTCGCAGCAGTTGCAGGCAGACTCATCCCCCCGCTTTTGGCAGGTTGCGTCGTTCCACGTTCCTCGACAGCTCAGCCCCCCTGGCCAGCACACGTCGTTGGGACGGTTGGAGCCTGGCGCCCCACTGGCGACTCGCTCCTCGGGCCTCGCGCCTGCCCCCATTCAGAATGACGGACACGGTTGCTCAGGTACTCGTCGTGTCTCTGTGTGGGTCGTGCATCACGGCAGGCATCGAATTCCTCGACATTCTGTCCACTGCACGTGCCCGAGCTTCCCAGGATGCCTCCCGCCGTCAGCTCCCCCGCAGCCTCGCGGCTGCTTTGTGAGTGGGCCGGCCGGCTAGCGGCGCTTCTTGTAGTTAATTCGGCTTGCCCGTTGGCCCGGACACCCTGCTCGCCGCCTGCCTCTTCGTTGGCGGCCGCGACCGAAAAAGTATCCCCACCAGCCCATCCAGGAACTATGCCCATGAGAGCAGATGGGGGGAGCGTGGGAGATAGACGCATAGTCAAACAACGAGGCTATCTCGAGCCATCTTGGGCCTCTCGGGTGCCTCTCGGAGGGTTCTTGGTGGCCTCTTGAGGCGCTCTTTGGGCCTTCTTGGGGGCCTCTTGCGAGCCCTGTAGGGCCTCTTGGGGCCATCTTAGAGGCGGTCGATCAACAGAGGGGGGTCCTAAATGTAGCTCCCCCCCTCGGGGGCCACGATCCTCGCGAGGGGTGTCAAGAAGTGACCCTCCCAGGGGCCAAACAAGGACCCTCTGACCCCCCCAAAAAAACACCCAGGGAGGGGAGGGGGAGGGTTCCCTCCCCCAGATGGAAGAGGGGTCGTGGAAGAGGAACGAGACCCTCGTCAGACCACCTGTCGTCCAGAGGGCTAGTGGGATTACTGATGTTGGCCTTCTCGCCTCTTGGACGCTCCAACGCCTCGTGACCCCCCCCGTCCAGGTCCAGGGGGAGGGGGATCGGTGGAGGGGTAAACCCCTCCCCGAATGGGAAGGAGGTTGGAAGAGGAAGCGTTCTTAACCACTCACACTCTAAAGGGCTGGTGATATTACCTATACGCATACGGTCTTGCCTGGCTTACAAGCGTCCCGAGTGGTTTAGGAGGGGTTATATAGCTCCGCCGAGTGGGCGGAGCCCGCTCAGTTCACCCGAGCATCTGCTTATGCTTACCCCGTTTTATCCCCTCAGAAGCCCCCGCGGTGATCAATGTACTGCTCCCACTGCGGAAACCTCCAGGTGACCGCCCTCTAGCTCTACTCAATTTCGACTCAAGTTCTACTACAGTTCATTTCAAGTCGACCGCATGTCCCCGACCCGTGGATCTGGTGCCCACGCGTCATATCCACAGATCCGTAATCCATGTTGGCGTGTGCCCGGGGAGGAGGAGGAGGAGGAGGAGGAGGAGGAGGAGGAGGGGGAAGGAGGAGTGACAGGAGGAGGAGGAGGAAGAAGGAGGAGGAGGAGGACGAGGAGGAGGAGGAGGAGGAGGAGGAGGAGGAGGAGGATTAGTGTAAAACCCAAGAGTCATCAACGATGTCGGAGTTAACCCTCCCTCCAAGCTCCCTCTAGGTCTGTACAATGGTTGATTTCCACAAAAGAAAACGTTTCCGTTGGAAGACAACCGTTTGAAGATCCCGAAGCATGGCAAGACATTGTTCTCGGGATTTCAACGCCACGCATCAACCTGACTGCTGCGTCTTGACGATCCGAATCGTGCCAGAACGCCATTGTTGGGACTTCAACGCCGCGAATCCATATAACCGTTGCGCCAGCATAATCCTGAACCCTTCCAATAACACCATTTCTGGTACGTTTATCTTGGGAATCGGTGAAACTCTTGCAACTGTTTACAACGAATGTGCGCGGCGCTAAGGCGAGAGCCACATTTTGAAAAGGGGCTCGCCCTCAATCAGTTTTTTTTTGTGCAATGGTTGTGCAACGAAAATGCGCGGCGCTAAGGCAAGAGCCGCATTTTGAAAACGACCCGCCGCCATCAGTGCGTGAAGCCCTTGCAACTTTTTGAAACAACAGTACGCGGCGCTAAGGCGAAGCCACATTTTGAAAACGACCCGCCCTCAGTCCGTGAAACTATTGCAACATTTGAAACGAAAGTGCGCGGCGCTAAGGCAAGAGCCGCATTTTGAAAACGACCCGCCTTCAGTCCGCGAAACTCTTGCAACTTTTTGAAACGAAAGTTCGCGGCGCCAAGGCGAAACCACATTTTGAAAACAACCCGCCTTCAATCCGTGACGCCATTGCACATTTTGAAACGAAAGTGCGCGGCGCGAAGGCGAGAGCCGCATTTTGAAAACGACCCGTCCTCAGTCCGTGAAATTCTTGACGCTTCGCGTATCCCCGCCAACCCATCCTACACCAGGCACTCGAACGAAGAGCGCCGATGACCGGCAGCTGTTCTCCTCCCCTCTTCCTCCTTCTCCTCCGCCTTCTCCTCCTCCTCCTCTCCTCCTCCGCCCTCTCCTCCTCCTCCTCCTCCTCCTCCTCCTCCTCCTCCTCCTCCTCCGCCTCTTCCTCCTCCCTGGTGGCGTATTGGAAGTGTCTTCGAACGTTTTGGTGGGCTCTTGGGCCTTGCGGGCGGGCGGGCGGCGCTCCGCCCGCCCGCGCGCAGGGCCCACGAGGGGGTCCAAGCCGTCTCTCGGAGCCATCTTGGAGGAGATCGATCAACGAAGGGGGGTTCCTAAATTTCAGCCCCCCCCCATCAGGAGCCACGATCCTCGTGAGGGGTGTCGGATTTTAGCCCTCCGAGGGGTCGATCTTGGACGCTCTGACCGATCGCGGCCCCCCGTCCAGGTAAGTGGGGGGGGGGGGGGGTAGGGGGAGGGGTAAACCCCTCCCCGAAGGGGAAGAAGGAGGGGTGGAAGAGGAAACGCTCTAAACCACCGACGCCCAGAGGGCTGGTGGGATTCGAGCACCAAGAAAGGATTGACATTGGGGGGCTTTCGTGTGTCGGGCGCTGGGGGGCGATGCGCGTTCGGCACTTCGCCAGCGTGTCGGACAGATCTTGTTTCGATGCTTCTCGGGGTGCTCGAAGACAGTTCTGGTACGTGGTCCGCAAGTGCGATGAGACATATAAGCGAATATCCTGTGTGATGAGCCTGTTTGCCACCACCACCATAAGTTGGAGGGGGGAAGGAGGAGGAGGAGGAGGAGGAGGAGGAGGAGGAGGAGAAGGAGGAGGAGGAGGAAGAGGAAGC